GGCTGAGTGACTGAGGTGACCACACCTTTTTCTTCCCAAAGAACAGGTCTGCCTGACCTTGTCGCAACAACGAACTCCACATCCCGACGCTGCTTAACCGGCAGGATGCCACCTTGGGCATCTGACACCTTCATTTTGGCTCCTGTGCCTTGTGTGCCCAGCCAACCTAAATCCGCAGGGAGGCAGCTAACATCGGCACCGCTGTCCATGATGACCTCTAGGTCCGTCCCATCAACCTCATGCACAACTGCACGCACGGTATGGTGGCTTGGCCCGTCCGTGGCCGCTGGTGATCTGAAGTTGGCATTGCTCAAACAAACGCCAACACCAACACTCTGTCTGCATCCTGTGATGCACATGTTGGTATCTGTATCCTGGACCAGATCACTCAACATATCACCATCGCAATCGGGCTCAACATCGCAATCGGGCTCATCAGAAACATACTCAGTCCATATGCCATCATTATCACCGTACGTCATGTCATAGTGCACACAAGGGCTTGGTGACATGTCCTGACCCGAAGACGTAGCGGCTGGGATCACACCTGGCCTAACCTCGGGTTCCTGGGACACACGCAAGCACTCAGGAGGCTCCTGACTGTTCGAACACACCTGAACAGCATTCACATGACTGGCATCGGGCATGGCAATGTCGGTAAAATCAAACATGGGAACATCCTCAAATTCAACTTCAAGTCTCCGAACAGTATTCCCTGCAGTTGCGGTTTGACTTGCGCTCTGGCTTGGGGCAACGGTGCTGGCGCCTGATTCTGAAACCTGCTGAACACGGCCCTGATTCTGCCAGCCCTGATTCTGCCAGCAATCACGCTGGCGGTGGCCGGTCTTGCCACATGTCCAGCACTGAGTAGAATTAGATGTCTTGCCTTTTGCATCTTTGCCCTTGCCATCCTTGGATGACTTGCCCTTGCCGGACTGCTGCTGTTGGGACTTGCCTCCTTTGCCAGCTTTACCATCTTTGCCCTTTCTTTGCCTTTCTTGCCTTTGCCATCTTTGCCTTGCTTGCCTTTTCCTTTCTTGCCCTTCCACGCAACACGATCTATGTCCATGGGCACTGGCTCATCCTGAGGAACAGATGGCTTGCTGGATTGTCCGAGCAACACAGAGTCACTGCTGAACAGATTGTGGGATCCCCATTTGAACTGGGTCCTCTCATAACGCAAAATGGTTTCTCTCAAAGTCGCATAGGAGGCATTCTCTGGCAAATTGGCCGCTATGCGCTGCCGCATGTTCCCTGACAGAGCTCTCAACAGCAACGCTGATTTCAGGGATGACTGTACCGCTTCACCAGAGGAGACTTCTTTAGGATTGAAGCCCTTCAGCTGTGTCAGTGCAGACAGAATCCCTAAGGAACGCACTTTGGATGGCGGCTGAAACTGCAACAGCAGCACGCGAAGCGCCTCATACCCACGTTGATGCGGAACTTGCTTGACCAACTGAAAAGCTCGGCCTTTGATCAACGAGGAAAGTAGCGCACACAGCTGAAACCCTCTGGCATTTGTCTCTTCATTCAAAACATTAACCTCTGTGTGAAGGTCACGCTCGATCAAGGAAATCTCGCTGTCGAAATTGCTATCTATGGCGCATAGGTATTGCCGGAACTGCCAGTACCAACTCACCCATCTTGCATGCTCATCCTCAAGTTTGTCAACCCGAAAAGGCTCTGGCCTAGGCAACATCTTAAGTAGATCCCTAGATTCTAAACCCCTTGTTCCAGAGGAACCACTAGATGTTGCCATAGTGCTCACTGCTTGAGCAGCCTCGGAAGCTGCCTTGGTTGCTGCAGCCATCTGCTGCATCAACATCTGAAGGTCACGCGCGGTCAAACTGACCGAAGTTGGTGAGGCAGGTGACATGGGCGAGAAGGGATTATGCGCCTGGGGTGCCCGGCCTGAACTCTGGGCACCACCTGTCGCAAGAGGCTCAAGCTCTGGCAAATCAGTATCTGAAATAGACATCGTTCACACACTCAATAAAGGTCAAGAACGTCTGCGCTGTCCTGCAAGTGAACTTGAAATACACCTGAAGAACTGCTAGGCTCTGCACCTGGGCTTTCCGGCTCTGAGGTCAAATCAATCTCGGCTTGACTGGGGTTCAAGGACTGTTCAAACACGAGCGGCACGCTCAAGTCACGTTCAAACGACAGGGACTCTGATGTTGAATGAACAAAGGCCACCTGATCTTCAAACGGGATACAAGTCTCTCCGATGTCTTCCACAACAAAGAAAAGAAAGCACTCCTTATCGTCTTGATCCTTAAGACACTTCAAGGCAAATTTCAAAATTGACTCGATATCGTGCAAAGATTCAAGTCTGTTCCGAAATGCTTCGATGGCTGTGTTGATAATGTTTCCCCAGCCGTTCTCACTTCTTCCTTTAGGCTTAGGCCTGCGCAACAATTGATCAAGATACAAGTCTGCAAGGCGACTCTTCGCACGTTCACAGCTTTCAAAAGTTGCCGTGGCTGCAGACGGGCTTGCCACCGTCACACACACACACTATGGCGCAAGCTACGGAGTCTCGCAACCCTCACAGACTGTTCGAACCAGACCAAAGACGCAAGCCTGAGCCCCTGAACTGAACCCCTAGCCTAGAACGTGTTTCGAAGCCCTGGCTGTCCAGGAGCTCCGCTACCATGAACAGAAAACAATGTTTTCCAACGGTCTTTTGAGCCTGCAAATGTCGCACATACAATCATGGTAAAACATGTCCAAAAGCTACTTGCTAGAGTAAACGTTACAGTACATCACATATGGGTGACAAAGTTGAACATGAGGGGATATCTAAGGCCGGCGCATACATTGATGGCTCTGCTGCTGTTGTTTCGTTTTAATGTACTCGGGTCACGGTACAAACTTGACTCACATCAATCCCGGATTGTGAGCAAGCTTTAACCCTTGCAAGTTCATCCTGATACCCTGCACTTCTCTAAGCTTGAGCAGGCCCATTCGGTCTACTGCATGTTTCAGGTTGATTTTGAGTTCAGCAGGCTTAAAGCTGGATATCATCAGCCGTATTCACTTTTGTACGTTGGCAGCACGGCCATCGGAGTCACCAAACGACATCTCAACAGGACGTCAGTCTTCAGACGTTTAAAGACTGAGTTCGTGGACGCCGAACTTCCTTGCCATATTGGGCGTCCCACGACAAATTGTTCCAGTTTGCGTTAGTCCCGCTTCACAGCTCTCAAGACTATGAATCAGCATGGATTTTGAACACAAGTTAGCCTCGCAAAGGCAGACTCAGCTCAATTTTCCTAGAGCAACTCAATTGTGAAAGAAAACTGCTCTACGTATGCCTTGTATGTTCGACTGGATTCAAACCGCCACGGGAGCCTTTCCAACTTTTGGTGGCTGGCTTTGCAGTTGTTGTTCACAATCAGCTGTAAACAGCAGTGGTAGTAATACAAGAAGCTGGCCAGCAAAGACCGCAGACGCAAAATCTGCACAGACATCACGTCTGGTGCTCCTGGCTGAAGCGGCTCCGTCGTCTCCAGGAACTCCCTCGCACGAAAGCGAATTCCAGATTCTGTTCTCTCAACGCTTCAACGCTACAACACGGTGGCATTTAGCGAGATCACCATTTAACAGGCCAAGTGCTGAGGATTGAGCTGTCTGCTTCCACACCATCGCCTGACACTCACACCCATGTCAGGGCACAGGGCATATGTCCGACGTGCCTGTGTGTATTTTTCTTGTTGCGGTAGCAACCTGGTGCGCCGTCTTCTCTTTTGGGCAAGCTTGCATCGGTCGTGAATCGCTCTCGGGGGCTGTACCCCCAAAGCCAGGGCATTTGCCTGAATTCTGGGCTATGACAGTTTGAGCTTTGCAAATATTCTGCTAGCACCTTTGCAGCCAAGCTGCAAGTGTCTGAATGGATGCTTGCTTTGAAGTTCATTGTCCCGATTCCGGTTCTGTCAGAGACTGATAGGAAAACCGCTGGTACTCAACATCAGCAGGCAGGTTGTCCAGGTCCGAGACGAACGTGACCGCGAAGGCGTTCAGCGCAAAGTCACTCGCTGCCCCAGAGGTTGCCAGGTAGACTGGGAGCGAGTACACGATAAAGATCCGATAGAGGCCGTTGGACACGTAACCTCGAGCTTCAGGAGCAAACAGGACAAAGAAAAGGAAGGGGCGGTTGGGGAAAACACCAAATAGGGTTCGCTGCCTTCCTCAGCAAGTCACACACGCAGAAGCGGAGCACGACTTCCGCTTCGCTGAGCCTGAGTCGAGGGGATGCGCCCTTGCCTTCCGACAATGAGTCCTGCGTCAGCAGGGCCACCCACAAGTCGTGGTTGGTTGCCTGCGAGTCATCCAGGCGCAAGGCCCAGCGGCTGATCTTGGTGAAGGAGGTTTCGGAATCAGGGCGGAAGGAGTTCAGGCTGATGTGGTATTGCACGAACAGGGAACACGCCCAAAAAAACCGGGAGAAGAGAGTCATCTCAATGGGCTCAGTCATAGCGGAGTAATACACACAAACGAAGATGGAGGAGAGCAGGACGGTGTGCACACACTGTGAGATGGGCACCTTGGGATCCTGGTATATGTTTACTGCTGTCACGGTCTGCTTGTCGACAACACCCTTCTTGGCCTCGGCAAAAGCATCGCGGAGGTCATTGATCATAAAGGCCGAGAAGGCAGCTGCGAGCAGGGCAAAGGTGGGCCAACTGCAAGGAAAGCAAATGTTGCATGAAACCTGCAGCAGCGCGTGAGGTCGAAGCAGCAGGCCGGGGACCAGAGCGTAATGGATCGGGGCATTGCAAGCTGTGAGAAAGAAGATCTTCACCAGGAAGTCCGGCAAATGCCTAGTACGTTCTTGTTCGTCACCGATGTCGCCGCACGTACACACAAGGCTCATAACAGCAAATGCTATGCGCAGGCCCACCACTAACAAAAGCATGTACTGGAAGTGGTAAACCCCAGCTGTGTCCTCCAACTCCTTCTCCACTTTCAATTCTTCAAGCTCAACCGAGTTATTCAAGAAGCCAGCTTGTGCTGCCAGCATCGCGGCATTCTCGCCTTTAGTCGACATTTTGGCAAATGTCTGTCGCACCTTTCTTTGCTTCCTCCAAAAGGCCTTTGAAAGGATCAGGTTCAGGCGCTGAACTCGCTTCCATCAACATTGTTTTACCTTCACTGCTCTTTTCCTCAAAAACCAGCGGGTTCTCCATTGCGTACTGCATCGCAGCCTTGGCCAGAACAGAAACTCTTGTCCAAACATTGATTCGGACATCTCCCGATAGAGCAGGAAGGTGTGGAAACCCCACGTCATGAAACCCCCGTCTGTTACTGAGAGAGTCAGATGAAATACCTGCTGCCCGCGCAGAACGTTCTGAAGGTGACATGGCATGACCACATCTGCGATGGCCTTGCTGAGACGCCCCACGAGGTCAGGCTTCCTGGGTTCGTTACAAGCGCAGCATCAAAACCCGAATTCCTCATTATTAGTGCCGCCAAGGCACTCAGGCTTGGTCTCCAGAGGCACGCCCATCCTGATAATCTGAACAACAGGGTCAGAATTGGCGCCAATTGCTTTTGTGGTTGCGACGCAACACAGAACACATTGGTTGAGAAGCCAGCTTTTCCGAAGCTCAGAATGACAGCACGGCCGTCCTGCCAAGGTACTCCAACCATACCGTGGGATGGCCATGCTTGCCAGATGCCTGCACAAGTCACAAGATGTCACAAGCCTCATGCCTCAGAAGCTCTGCTTTCCACTGATCGAGAGGAACCTACGGACGCACCGTAAGTCCAGGGTGTAGAGCGCAACATAGCATGGCTATGGATCAATGGACCCTGTTGCATCTGCCCATTGCCTAGCTGCATCGGACAGCGGCTATCTTCAATTCGTTCCCAGGAGTACCTGCATGCTTGGCCTTGAACTGCCAGCGCATACTCCAAGGTTTCAAGCAAGTGTCAGGCGAGATCACAACCGCTGCCTTGGCACACACGTGTCACTCCAGTCAACCATATGCATGGCCACAGCTCACAATTCTCGTGAGCAGGTTATTCCCAAACCTGTTGCAGGCTGAGACAGCAGCAGAAAAATTTGCGGAAGTTGTTGATCTGAGACAGGAAAGGCATCAGCTGCACAGGCTAAGCTTCCTGCGCACGCCTCTGCCGGCAATGGCCTGTCCAAGGTTCCTGTCATCTGGATAACCTTTTCGGCCTGGGCCTAAGGAAAAGCACGAAGCTCGGCTCAGACTGCTGGGTCAGCAGAGACTACCGTTCAAGGCATGGCGCAGCCACAAACAAATTCAAGAATTTCAAGGTGACAAATGGGGCGCGTGCATCTCCTTTGTGAGTTGATTGCAAAATGGTTCGACAAAAGGCTTGCGGAGCGAGCGTAGCTAATTTTTGTCCAAACCAGGCGGAGACAAAGCGAAGCGGATTTGTGATCAATACTTTCCGTATGTCTTGGCGTGCCTTTTTACCGCATGTGATTGCCACGCTGCGCTCCTGTCCAGAAGGTCATTCCATTGATTTCATGGAACATGACGTCGATTCTTTTTGGGCTTGCGATGTTGAATGCTCAAGCGTGGCAACGAGCCACTGAGAAATTTTTCATCCACCCTCCCACCCTACTGGAGGGCGTTTCACGGCCCAAATCGGTTTTTGTAGTTCGTTACTTCTCTGCCACACACA